TAAATACCGAGACTATCCTTTTAAAATTAGAGGTATCACATTCTTCCCCCCCCCCCTAACAAAAGGAATTCCATCCTCGAAATTCACCCTTACCTTCGTCTATTATTTCTGGAAAGTGTAAGCGAATGACATCCTCTCGTTCCCACGTGGACTCAGCCTCATTGTGGTGACTCCATTGGACACGCACTAACGGTATGACCTTGTTGCGAAGAATTTGGTCCCGACGGTCTACAATACGACACGGTGGCTCACATATGTTGATCCGGCTGTAACTCAATCTCACCAACATCTATATGCTGATAACGATCCTCATCGCGCAAAATTTTTCGTAACATGGAAACATGAAACACATTATGGACACGATCTAAATTGTCCGGAAGTGCTAAGCGATAGGCTACCGCTCCAATTCGATTCGTAATCATGAAAGGACCGACAGAACGTGGTGACAACTTCCCTTTCTTCCCAAAACGTATCACTTCTTTCATAGGAGACACTTTGAGTAAAACCTGATCTCCCACCTGAAACTCCGAAGCACGAGTACAACGATCCGCATAACTCTTCTGCTTACTCTAGGTAGTGCGCATGCGATCCCTAATAAGAGCAATCTTTTCCGAGGTATCCTTAATGAATTCAGGACCCAAAAGTCTACTCTCTCCAACCTCCATCCAACAAACAGGAGATCGACACGGTTGGCCATATAATGCTTCAAACGGTGCCATACCAATAGTCTTCTAAAAACTATTGTTATATGCAAACTCCATAAGTGGCAAATAGTCCTCCCAATGACCCTTAAAGTCAAGGACACAACAACGAAGCATATCCTCCATGATCTGATTAACCCTCTCGGTGTGTCCATCTGTCTGAGGATGATAAGCAGTGCTAAGATGCAACTCTGCACCCAAAGCCTGCTGAAAACTCTTCCAAAACCCTAACACAAAGCTTGAATCCATGTCCGATATAATAGATAACGGAATGCCATGTAACTTCATAATCTCTGAAATGTAAAGTCTTGCCAGCTGTTCTGAAGTAAAATCAGTGTGAATAGGCAAGAAATGAGCTGATTTAGTCAACCTATCAATGATAACCCAGATAGAATTGTGATCCTTAAACGAATTAGGCAATCCATCCACAAAATTCATAGAAATGTTCTCCCACTTCCACTCAGGTATAGGTAGTGGTTGTAAAGAACCTGGTGGTCTCTGGTGATCAATATTAACCATGTGGCAAGTAATACACTTAGAGACAAATATAGCAATGTCCTTCTTCATACTTGCCCACCAAAACTGTCGCTTTATATTGGTACATTTTGTCTCCTCCTGGATGAACAAAAAACTTAGAACGATGAGTCTCAGTCATCACATCCTTCCTCAATTCATCAGCAGAAGGTACTACTAACTGCCCCTTGTTTCTTAAGCCTCCATTAGTCCCAACATGATAGAATGGAACATCCCCAGAAGCTATCTCTGCAACATTGTCAATGCACTGCTGATCCGTGAGTTGTGCCTTCAAAACCTTGTGAATAATACAAGGTGTAACTACCATGCATGCCATAAAAGCATCAGACAACTCATCAACTGTCTTCAAAGCATTCCACTCAGTGGTGAATAAAGCAAAAAGACTCACATAGGGTCGGCGACTGAGTGCATCTGCCACTAAATTCGCTTTTCCTGGATGGTACTGTATAGAGAAATGATAGTCTTTTACAAACTCTAACCATCCACGTTGTCTCATATTCAGCTCCCGCTGAGTGAACAAATACTGTAGACTTTGTGATCACAAATAGTCTGAAGGACTCTCCTAACAGATAATGCCTCCAAATACGTAAGGCAAAGACCACAACTGCCAGCTCCAAATCGTGCGTCGGATAATTAAGCTCATGTGGCTTAAGCTTACGAAATCTATATAAAATTGGTCGTTCCTCCTGCATCAAAACACACCCAAGACCCTGCCAAGAAGCATCTGCGTAAACCAAATATTCTATCCTGCTCTGTGGAGTAGACAGAACCGGTGCAGAAGTCAACTTGCGCTTCAGCTCTTCAAAAGCTTTCTGACAGTGCTCATCCCATATGAAATGTACACCCTTCTTAGTCAAATGAGTAAGTGGTCACGCTATCTTCGAGAACCCCTGAATGAACCTACGATAGTATCCTGCCAATCCGAGAAAACTCTGAATCTCCGTAGGTGAAGTAGGTTGTCCCCACTCTACCACTGCTGAAACCTTGGCTGGATCTACCGGTATACCATTTTCTGACACTACATGACCCAGAAGCTTCACTTTTCGCTGCCAAAACTCACACTTCTCAAATTTGGCATACAGCTGGTGTTCACGAAACGTCTGCAATACTATGCAAAGATGTCTAGCATGATCGTCCGCTGTCTTAGAATAGATCAAAATATCATCAATGAAGACAATGACAAACTGATCTAAATAAGCCCTGAAGACTCTGTTCATTAAATCCATAAAGACAGCTAGCGCATTAGTCAATCCAAAAGGCATGACCCGAAATTCATAAGATCCATATCTAGTGAGAAATGTTGTCTTAGGTACATCCTGCTCCTTAACTCGAAGCTGATGATAACCAGAACGTAAATCAATCTTAGAGAAATAAGTAGCCCCCTTCAATTGATCGAAAAGATCATTAATCCTGGGTAAAGGATACTTGTTACGAATAGTAACCTTGTTCAACTCCATGTAATCTATATATAAGCGAAGTGAACTATCATTCTTCTTTACAAACAAAACCGGTGCTCCCCAGGGTGAAGTACTCCTCCGAATAAAACCCTGACTAAGTTTCTTCACCCAGGGTGAAGTGCTCCCCAAGGTGAAGAAATTTTATTTTTTTCAGGTGTTCGACAGTTCTAGTCTTAGAGGTTGTTCGTGCTGAGAGAGACAGTCTATCATCAATCTTCTGATCTGACGTAGGAGTCTTCCTTATGTTTTAGTTTAGATTTCAATTTTATTTCAGTATTTAATTTCAGTTGTTTATGGTTAGGGGTCCACATAATGGATTCCCGAGTTGTAATGATATCAGATATTTTTTTGGATATTGTCATTTGGAGGATTATTTAATAAGTCTTTTAAGGAGTTGTGATTATTATTATTATTATTATTTCCTTTCCATTTATTTATTTATTCTTTATCCTTCTTGTACTCTATGCTTGTTTATATACTTAATTGTTTGGTATCCCTTGGATCTGTGCTTGGACTTGATCACCCGTGGCTCTAGATCTGAAGGGTATCACAATTGGTATCAGAGCACTCTAGGTTCAAGCGTCTCTAGGATTCTTTCCCATAAGACTTCCTCGTAACGTATTCTTTTGTTTAGAGCCTAAGTTTAGGATTCATTGTATTCCTTTACAGTTCATTTAAAAACATACCGATGTCTACCTTTCTATGTTAACAGAATGGTTAACACTAGAAGAAGATGGGATAATAAAAGAAACAGGCAGCGAGCGGCACATAGGCAGTAGGATTTCCTACGGCGGTTCTGTTTACTCCACAGAACGGGATAGAATATCTGGTTTACACAGATGCTTCTTTGCAAGGTCTTGGATGTGTTTTGATGCAGGAGGAACGACCAATTTCATATGGATCTCGTAAACTTAAGCCACATGAGCTTAATTATCCAACGCAAGATTTGGAGCTGGCAGCTGTGGTCTTTGCCTTATGTATTTAGAGGCATTATCTGTTAGGAGAGTCCTTCAGACTATTTAGTGATCACAAGAGTTTGCAGTATTTGTTCACTCAGCGGAAGCTGAATATGAGACAATGCCAGTGGTTAAAGTTTGTGAAAGACTATTATTTCTCTATACAGTACCATCCAGGAAAAGCGAATGTAGTGGCAGATACACTCAGTCGCCGACCCTATACGAGTCTTTCTGCTTTATTCACCACTGAGTGGAATGCTATGAAGATAGTTGATGAGTTGTCAGATGCTTTTATGGCGTGCATGGTAGTTACACCTTCTATCATTCACAAGGTTTTGAAGGCATAACTCATGGATCAGCAGTGCATTAACAAAGTTGCAGAGATAGCTTTTGGGGATGTTCCATTCTATCATGTTGGGACTAATGGAGGCTTGAGATACAAGGGGCGGTTAGTAGTACCTTCTGCTGATGAGTTGAGGAAGGATGTAATGACTGAGACTCACCGTTCTGAGTTTTCTGTTCATCTAGGAGGAGACAAAATGCACCAAGATATGAAGCGACAGTTTTGGTGGGTAGGTATGAAGAAGGACATTGTTATATTTGTCTCTAAGTGTATTACTTGCCAGATGGTTAAGATTGATCACCAGAGACCACTGGGTTCTTTACAACCACTACCTATACCGGAGTGGAAGTGGGAGAGCATTTCTATAGATTTTGTGGAGGGATTGCCTAATTCGTTTAAGGATCACAATTCCATCTGGGTCATCGTTGATAAGTTGACTAAATCAGCTCATTTCTTACCTATTCGCACTGATTTTACTTCAGAATAGCTGGCGAGACTTTACATTACAGAGATTGTGAAGTTACATGGCATTCCATTATCTATTTTATCGGACAGGGATTTGACCTTTGTGTCAGGGTTTTGGAAAAGTTTTCAGCAGGCTTTGGGTGCAGAATTACATCTTAGCACTGCTTATCGTCCTCAGACAGATGGACACACCGAGAGGGTTAATCAGCTCATGAAGGATATGCTTCGTTCTTGTGTCCTTGACTTTAAGGGTCATTGGGAGAACTGTTTGCCACTTGTGGAGTTTGTATATAATAATAGTTTTCAGAAGACTATTGGTATGGCACCGTTTGAAGCATTATATGGTCGACCGTGTCGATCTCCTGTTTGTTGGATGGAGGTTGGAAAAAGTAGACTTTTGGGTCCTGAATTCATTAAGGATACCTCGGAAAAGATTGCTCCTATTAGGGATCGCATACGCACTACCCAGAGTAGACAGAAGAGTTATGCAGATCATCGTACTCGTGCTTTGGAGTTTCAGGTGGGAGATCAGGTTTTACTCAACATGTCTTCTATGAAAGGAGTGATGCGCTTTGGGAAGAAAGGGAAGTTGTCACCACGTTTTGTCAGTCCTTTCATGATTACGGATCGAATTAGAGCGGTAGCCTATCGCTTAGCAGTTCCGGACAATATAGATCGTGTCCATCATGTGTTTCATGTTTCCATGTTACGAAAATTTTTGCGCGATGAGGATCGTTATCAGCATATAGATGTTGGTGAGATTGAGTTACAGCCGGATGTAACATATGTGGAGTTACCGTGGCGTATTGTAGACCGTCGGGACCAAATTTTTCGCAACAAGGTCATCACTTAGTGCGTGTCCAGTGGAGTCACCACAATGAGGCTGAGTCCACGTGGGAACGAGAGGATGTCATTCGCTCACACTTTCCAGAAATAATGGACGAAGGTAAGCATGAATTCCGAGGACGGAATTCCTTTTGTTAGGGAGGAAGAATGTAATACTCCTAATTTTAAAAGGATAGTCTCGGTATTTATTTAATTATTTTATCGCATTTTAATTGAATTACTTGATTATTTTGATTTCGTGGCCATTTGTAAATATGTTTTTATTAATTAGATGTTTAATTGTTGTATTAATGGTATGTTTTAAATATTGTATTAATTAAATTTCGTGGCCATTTGTAAATATGTTTTTATTTGAATTAATTGTTTTATTAATTAGATATTTAATTGTTGTATTAATGGTATGTTTTAAATGTTGTATTAATTAAATGTTTAATTGTTGTATTATTTTTATTTGAATTAACTGTTCTATTAGTTTTATGGTTTATATGTTATATGTTTAAATGTTATTATTAGTTAAGTGTTTTAAGTTATATGTTTGAAAGTTATATTATTTAAGTGTTTAGTGATTGTTATATTAATTAGATATTTAATTGTTGTATTAATGGTATTAATTAAATGTTTAATTGTTGTATTATTTTTATTTGAATTAACTGTTGTATTAATGGTATGTTTTAAATGTTGTATTAATTAAATGTTTAATTGTTGTATTATTTTTATTTGAATTAATTGTTGTATTAATTTTATGGTTTATAAGTTTTATATTTAAATGTTGTTATTAATTAAGTGTTTTAAGTTATATGTTTAAAAGTTATATTATTTAAGTGTTTAATGGTTGTTTTAATTGTATGTGTTAAATGCTTTATTAATTAAGTGTTTAATAGTTGTTTTAATTGTATGTTTAAATGCTTTATTAATTAAGTGTTTAATGGTTGTTTTAATTGTATGATTATTAGGAGTATTTAATTTAATTAAATACTATTAGTCTTTAGATTCATATATGTATTTAATTCTATATATATATATATAATATAATATTATTTAAACTAAATTACGTATTTAATTTAAAGTAATTAGAATTGGGAAGGGAAAATGATTATAAGATATTAGTATATTTATATAAGTTGTATGTCTGTGAAAGGGTTGAAAACCCTATTCACGCAGACACTAAGGGAGGTAGGAAAATAATGGGGTTTGAGAGAGAAGAAAGGAAGGAAGAGATTTGGGGTTTTAAATCTAAAAATTCAAAGGCAAGTTCTATTTCTTCTCTTCCTCTTTAACTTGTGTTCTATACAGACTTAGATCAATTCCAAGAGAATTAATTGGATTAAAACAAACTTTTTACATGTTTAAAGTCTGAAGTTACAATGTAAATATGTATGTAATGGGTTTGTATATTCTTTTATAATTTGATAAATTGATGTATGATTTGTGTTCTGGATTATTTAAAATATGTTCATATGATGTATATTGGGTATTGGGACATTTTGGAAAGAGGAATCAGAACTTTGAATCTCCAACAATGGAGGTTTGAAGAAGAACTCGTAGAAGAAGAGGATGTGCAGTGCCGTTTTGGCCGATCTAAGGACGGGTTCAGTCAACTGATATGTCGTAGGATTTGGGAATTCTTAATGTTATTTATATTGTTCATGTTAATAGTTGTTTGGATTTGTTTTAATTATTTTAAATTGTTAAAATAAATTCATGGAGGTTATGGAATGCATGATTATAATTATTATGCTAAGATATTACACAATATGAAATTTTAAATGGAGTTGCATGTTGTTAATGGAGAGTATAATTGCTTAGATTTAATTTAGCAATTTAATGTGGTGTATATATGATTTAATCATGTAGTTGTAATATATTATGATCATATACATGACTGATTATATTATACTCATCTGTGGATTTAATTGATGTGATATTATATATATATATTTTTCATCAATTGTGGATTGTGTGATGAAATGCACCAGTATGGGATGGTGGCATTTTAGGGATGGATTAACTTATCGGTTAAGTCCTACCTATTTGGTATAAGGGAATGGATTAACTAAAATGTTAAGTCCTACTTATATTCAAGTCAGGTCAATGGAACAAGTTGAATGACTTACAGAGGATTAATTATAGTTGGATATGATGGATTTTATATATGTAATTATGGTGTTATGATATGAGCTTGAGTCTCAGAATCAGTGGTTAGGCCGCGTATATCAGCAGGGATGTGTAGCTAGATATAGTGTAGTTGTGTGCCCTGATAGGTCTAGATATTCATGCCCACTATATGTGCGTTTTGCGTGATGCCTACTATTCAGGTTGAGGCAACCCTATAGTCTACTGAGGTTCCTTTAGTGTGTATGTATATATATATACGGACTAGTTATTGTTGGATTGACTAGGATATATACATGTATCGAGTCTCTGTTTGAGATGTAGTAGATTAGAACTTGTTCGTGGGCCTGACCCACTATTAATTTTTCAGGTGCTCGATAGTTCCAGTCTTAGAGGTTATTCGTGCTGAGCAGAGACAGTCTATCATCACTCTTCCGATCTGACGTAGGAGTCTTCCTTATGTTTTAGTTTGGATTTCATTTTTATTTCAGTATTTAATTTCAGTTGTTTATGGTTAGGGGTTCACATAATGGATTCCCGAGTTGTAATAATATCAAATATTTTTTTGGATATTGTCATTTGGAGGATTATTTAATAAGTCTTTTAAGGAGTTATGATATTCCATTAGCTAGGATTATTTAATAAGTCTTTCGACAGTGGATATGCCAAATTAGATTCGGCCCTGGACACTAGGTCCCTTCACATGTCTTACGACAGTGGATCTGTCAAATGAGATTTGGCATTCGACACTAAGTCCCTTCACGTGTCTTTCGACAGTGGATCTGCCAAATTATATTTGGCCTTTATACAGCAAACTGTGATATTCCATTAGCCCGGATCTCTTCAAGATAATTGTGCTTCAACTGCATATGTATGGACTTTTCATTGTAACACTCGTTGTGAGCTTGAAGCATCGCAACCTTATTGTCACGAAAATATTTCAAAGGCAGTATAGGCTTACTTCGTATTAGAATACCCTCCAGTAAGATCCTTACCCTATCAATTTCCTCTCCAGTAGAGAAAATGCAATAACATTCAGATTCTATTAAGGAATGAGTTATACAAGTTCACCCTTTTGATTTCCAATAAATCATAACTCCACCCACGGTAAAGATCCAAGCTAGTACGAACATTGAGCATCCATAACAAAGAACAGCTATGTATTTGCAATAATCCAACCCATGATCCATAGTACTCTGCAAGTACCTCTATATTCTCATAAGAGAAATTCATGATCTCTTCCCAGATTATTTTTGTACTTGATAACAAGTTTTGTTTACCATGGTGTAGTTCATTGCATCATAATGACCACCAATAATTTGAGAATTCAAGTTAATTCAGTATACTACCTTGATTGCAAACTGACTCTGATCTGGGATCAATAAGAATAAAGACTGCAGCATCTGATCGATAAGATTTTGAACCTTTCAAGATTAATTGATAAAATTGGATTGCGTGAGAATAAATCCATGTTGAGGCCCCACAATTTAATTTACACTCTAGCTTCCCTAAGATCCATCATGTCAAAAGTTCAAATTAAGAACTTAATACGCAAATAATAATTGCCAGAATTCCCTTGGAATCTCCTTTTATCAATATGAAATTCAACTGTAATCATTGTTTTCCTAAACTTTCATTTCTCTATTTAGGAGCTTTCAAAAATGAGTTTTCAAGGATAAAAATTAGTATCATCAATAAAATGATAACATATCACTTTCCTTCATGAAAATAATTAGCTCATTTCAAACATGTCAATACGGATCAAATTTTCAGTATTAGTGTCTTTTCAACACATCAATAAAAATTTATATACTATATGTAATGCTTTGATCCACTTGAATCTTACCATTAGTTATCCTTTTGATTAATGAATTTAAACTCATGTAATCAAGTATATGACATGCCATAAATTAAGAAATTTATAGTAACCAAAAATTAGTTTTATAACTAGAAAGCATACCGTTAATAGAGTGACTCATTTCGACAATCATACCAATTTTGGATGAAAATTTGATGAATTTAGAACTCACCTCGAAGCCATTATTTGCAAATCTAAAGACCTCTTTCAGATGCATCACTTACCAGAAATTATGCTTATGCATATCACTTTAGAAGTTGAAGAGTTCTCCTCTTATATTGTCATCTGATCCCCCCACTAGTCATAAATCTTGCATGATTTTGACTAATTGTAATGTGGAGAGATGATCTAGTTTCAATCAACCGATGGCACGCGTCCCGAAAGACAATAAACTTCTTTTGTGATCTTCTCGTTCATCACATAATATGATCTAATCAGACGGAAATTGACCTACTAGAGCTTTCAACTTTCAAGTAATAAACATAAGTATATTCAAAATGAGTATCAACCTTTCGATCAATCCCTGACAAATCCTTTGATAAAAGGATTCAGTTCATTGACCAAGTTTATAACATGTTATTAATCAATGACTTTGGCAATATAAATATAAATTATTGCACAAATTTAGACATACCTTTAATGAAAAGATTATTTCAAGGAACATACTAGAATTGCAATTTCATCCAATTGCCCTTGTGCCCACCAACATAGGATATTGGGTTACATAATTCCCACACTAGGCATGGAAGAATTCTGGTCACTTTTTGTATGATGAGATGCCAATTCAATCCACCTTATGATCTTCTCATTGATCAAATTAAACTTGATCAGATGATGTTTTGTCACCCAGAGCAGCTGGACATGGCTTAGTCATGACAAAAGTGATTTTTCAATTGTGAAAGGAAAAATAAAATTTTCCTTTCCACCGTTGGGGTGCATATGTGTGTGTATACATATATATATATGCACACACAACATCAAAGCCTTGATATTCGGTTGAGAAACTGAATAATCAGTGCTCGACAATAACGAAAATG